GTATGACTTATGCTATGGCAATTCAATACTACATGTGTTCATATATCTTATGCTATGGCAATTCAATACTACATGTGTTCATTTGACTTATGCTATGGCAATTCAATACTACATGTGTTCATATGACTTATGCTATGGTAATTCAATATGCAACGAAATTTGTATTGTTACACATGTACCGTGACTATATGATTCGTGCTCGTACAATATAGATATGTGACTAGAAATAAGATGGGTTGAATATATCGATATAATCCAACTTGATATGACACATATGACTAGGATAATTACCACCGTGTAATTTCACTGGTATATGCATTCAGTGCAAAGCTGATCCAAAGACGAAACGTATCATAAATATATGAGCTGTTTCACCTTGGGTGTCATTTTCATCTGGTCTTGAGAATGAGTATTTGAGATTTGACATGATTGGGGAACAGTTATTCAAACGTAGTGTTTGAGTGAATTATCTTTTTATTTTTTACTTGCAGTACCTATTCATTATTTTGTCATGACCAGAAGTATAAGCATGCCATTTTTTTTACATTTTTAAAGTTGTTTTCTTTGTTTGTTAATTGAATAACGTTTGTACTAGTTAAATATAAAACAGAACATAATTCTTGCCCCACGAGTTATAATGTTAAATATATTTGATGTAGTTTTCTAATACTTTTTAAATTTCTTTTTATTATAATCAAATCTTACCGCTATCGTAACTATAATGTGCATTGTCAGGTAGTAGACCACGTAGTAGTAATATAACTATTTTCAAAATACTGGGGAATCCGAAGTCAGCAAAAGGAAACTTATATCGTAATATAGTTTATTTAAAATCACTGATATTAATTTATTAATTATTGTATTCAGCAATAATGTCTCACAAAACGCATATAAATTGTACAATATTTAAAAATATGTCATTAAACAGTGATATGCAATAAATAATCTCGGCAGATTCATTATATACATAATGGAGATATTACTTTCTTGCTGCTACACCAGCCACTGCAGATGTAGACATTATTTGGCTGCTACACATGTTAATGTAGTTAATGTAGCTACTACACGAGATACTGCAGGTCATAGTGAATGAATATGGCTGATAAACCAGCTCCTGCATTTGTAGCTACACCTGCCACGCCTGCTGCTGCAGACTGTAGTGATGGAGTCTGGCTACTGCACCAGCTACTGTAGATAGAAGTGGTAAATACTTGCTGCTATACCAGCTAATACTGACTGCATGAGCGTGCACCAGATACTGCAGATTTCAATAATGATGCAGTCTTATTTGGTAACAGAAATAGAAATACAGAAAAGGCACTAACATTCATCTCTGTCAGTCTGTCAATAGTCAATTTAGGGGTAAAAATTGTTTTCTTCTGGAGTATGTACTTTACGAATTTCAATTATTCATATCTATTTCTAGTGAGTACAAATAATTTCTCTTGGACGGGGTGGCCAAGGGTGAAACAGTTACAATAATATTATTATGAAATCTTTAACTTGAGCTGTAGTGTTGTATAATTTGGTGGGATGCTACTGGATGGACTTGATACGATGGAAAACATGTAAAGCGGAATTATTTAAAATATATTCCGAGATGATCTGAGTCTTGAATCTGAAACGACACTGCCTCATAATATTTCACTTCAATCAATAAATACATAATATTCCAGCGTGTATTCTATAAAAGCATCATTCACAGCTCACTGTATTATACGTAGTACACTATCCTACATGAATCCAGTTCAGCCAACTGTTTTTGTAAACGAAGTATCTCATTCCGCAATCGTATCATCTCCCGTTCGTGGTCATCCACAGACAATATATGGGTGTTGTTTTTGTGTGAGTTCGTTTTATCGCAAATCCTCTTTTTAGAGTTGGAATTGTTATTGCCAACAGTAGGCAAACTTGTGTACTCAACATTGTCGAAGGTCCTCACAGGTGCAGATTTAAGGGAAGATTTTGATATTTTAAAAATATGTGGATCATTCTCAGAGTCTTTCTCACTCAGTTCAAGTTTCACATATTGTATTTTGTCACCTGTTGCGATTTGCTTTCTTTGGTTTTCGATTTCATAGTAGTTACTTATATCTGTTTCCTGTATGTCCATCAATAACTCAGAAGATGTACTTGCTGGAAAGCGAGCGTCGCCATCGCTGTGCACCAACAACGAAGTTTCATCGGTATCTGAAATTTCGGTAGAAAGAAGTTCTTCTAATTCCTCTTCCAAGTTGTTGATCTGTACATCAAGCTAGTAATAAAGAACATAAATCTGTTTGTATACAACGATAGATTACTGCATATTTATTTACATTTCAAAACATTTCTAAGACAAGTAAAAGTAGATTGTAAATCGGAACGGTAAGACGTGTCAGTAGAAACATATTTTTGCTCTATAAGCAGAATAATAATTGAAAGTTCCAGCATCTTTTCTGTCATTCAAAATCAATCATCAATAACAACTATCTCTTACGTACAATATCCAGGGCAACGTAGTGTAAGCAATGTTATAGTTATAGTGAGTGATTCAAATGTACATGTCGAAAAAAATCCGGACACACACACCAAAACAAGACAAGAGCAGAGGCCTTTGAATAGTGATACAAAACGTAAATATTTATACGTGAAGTCTTGCTAGTAAGAAAGTACCCGAAAGAATAACTCCATTAATGATGTGGGTGTGACAGTGGAAGTAAAAATAACATTACTCCATCTAGTGCTGTGGGCATGACAGTGCCAGGAAGAATAACCCCATTAGTGTTATAGGTGTGACAGTGCCAGTAAAAATAACATTACTCCATCTAGTGCTGTGGGCATGACAGTACAGGTTAGAATAACTCCATTAGTCTTGTAGGTGTTATAGTGCAAGTAAGAATAACTCCATTAGTGTTGTATGTGTGACAGTGCCAGAAAGAATAACCCCATTAGTGTTGTAGGTGTGACAGTGCAAGTAAGAATAACTCCATTAGGGTTATAGGTGTGACAGTTCCAGTGAGAATAACTCCATTAGTGTTGTGGTTGTGACAGTGCAAGTAAGAATAACCTCATTAGTGTTGTAGGTGTGACAGTGCCAGCAAGAATAACTCCATTAGTGTTGTAGGTGTGACAGTGCCAGTAAGAATAACCCCACTAGTGTTGTAGGTGTGACGGTGCAAGTAAGAATAACTCCATTAGTGTTGTAGGTGTGACAGTGCCAGTAAGAATAACTCTATTAGTGTTGTAGGTGTGACAGTGCAAGTAAGAATAACTTCATTAGTGTTGTAGGTGTGACAGTGCCAGTAAGAATAACTCCATTAGTGTTGTAGGTGTGACAGTGCCAGTAAGAATAACTCCATTAGCGTTGTAGGTGTGACAGTGCCTGTAAGAATAACTCCAGTAGTGTTGTAGGTGTGACAGTGCAAGTAAGAATAACTCCAGTAGTGTTTGTAGGTGTGACAGTGCAAGTAAGAATAACTCCATTAGTGATTGTAGGTGTGACAGTGCCAGTAAGAATAACTCCAGTAGTGTTGTAGGTGTGACAGTGCAAGTAAAAATAACTCCATTAGTGTTGTAGGCGTTACAGTGCCAGTAAAAATGACTCCACTAGTGTTAGAGGTGTGACAGTGCAAGTAAGAATAACTCCATTAGTGATTGTAGGTGTGACAGTGCCAGTAAGAATAACTCCAGTAGTGTTGTAGGTGTGACACTGCAAGTAAGAATAACTCCAGTAGTGTTGTAGGTGTGACAGTGCAAGTAAGAATAACTCCATTAGTGTTGTAGGTGTGACAGTGCCAGTAAGAATAACTCCACTAGTGTTATAGGTGTGACAGTGCCAGTAAGAATAACTCCACTAGTGTTGTAGATGTGATAGTGCCAGTAAGAATAACTCCATTAGTGTTGTATGGATGACAGTGCAAGTAAGAATAACTCCATTAGTGTTGTAGGTGTGACAGTGCAAGTAAGAATAACTTCATTAGTGTTGTAGGTGTGACAGTGCAAGTAAGAATAACTCCATTAGTGATTGTGGGTAAGACAGTGCCAGTAAGAATAACTCCACTAGTGTTGTAGATGTGACAGTGCCAGTAAGAATAACTCCATTAGTGTTGTATGGATGACAGTGCAAGTAAGAATAACTCCATTAGTGTTGTAGTTGTGACAGTGCAAGTAAGAATAACTCCATTAGTGTTGTAGGTGTGACAGTGCAAGTAAGAAAAACTCCATTAGTGTTGTAGTTGTGACAGTGCAAGTAAGAATAACTCCATTAGTGTTGTAGGTGTGACAATGCAAGTAAGAATAACTCCATTAGTGTTGTAAGTGTGACGGTGCCAATAAGAATAACTTCATTAGTGTTGTAGGTGTGACAGTGCAAGTAAGAATAACTCCATTAGTGTTATAGCTGTGACAGTGCAAGTAAGAATAACTCCATTTGTGATTGTGGGTAAGACAGTGTAAGTAAGAATAACTCCATTAGTGTTGTAAGTGTGACGGTGCCAGTAAGAATAACTCCATTAGTGTTGTAGGTGTGACAGTGCAAGTAAAAATAACTCCATTAGTGTTGTAGGCGTTACAGTGACAGTAAGAATGACTCCACTAATGTTATAGGTGTGACAGTGCAAGTAAGTATAACTCCATTAGTGATTGTGGGTGTGACAGTGCCAGTAAGAATAACTCCATTAGTGTTGTAGGTGTGACAGTGCCAGTAAGAATAACTCCATTAGTGTTGTAGGTGTGACAGTGCAAGTAAGAATAACTCCATTAGTGTTGTAGGCGTTACAGTGCCAGTAAGAATGACTCCACTAATGTTATAGGTGTGACAGTGCAAGTAAGTATAACTCCATTAGTGATTGTGGGTGTGACAGTGCCAGTAAGAATAACTCCATTAGTGTTGTAGGTGTGACAGTGCCAGTAAGAATAACTCCATTAGTGTTGTAGGTGTGACAGTGCAAGTAAGAATAACTCCATTAGTGTTGTAGGCGTTACAGTGCCAGTAAGAATGACTCCACTAGTGTTATAGGTGTGACAGTGCAAGTAAAAATAACTCCATTAGTGATTGTGGGTGTGACGGTGCCAGTAAGAATAACTCCATTAGTGTTGTAGGTGTGACAGTGCCAGTAAGAATAACTCCATTAGTGTTGTAGGTGTGACAGTGCAAGTAAGAATAACTCGACTAGTGTTGTAGGTGTGACAGTGCAAGTATGAATAACTTCATTAGTGTTGTAGGTGTGACAGTGCCAGTAAGAATAACTCCATTAGTGTTGTAGGTGTGACAGTGCAAGTAAGAATAACTCGACTAGTGTTGTAGGTGTGACAGTGCAAGTAAGAATAACTCGACTAGTGTTGTAGGTGTGACAGTCCAAGTATGAATAAATCCATTAGTGTTGTAGGTGTGACAGTGCAAGTAAAAGTAACTCCATTAGTGTTGTAGGTGTGACAGTGCCAGTAAGAATAACTCCATTACTGTTGTAGGTGTGACTGTGTAAGTAAGAATAAATCCATTAGTAATTGTGGGTAAGACAGTGCAAGTAAGAATAACTCCGTTAGTGTTGTAAGTGTGACGGTGCCAGTAAGAATAACTCCATTAGTGTTGTAGGTGTGACTATGTAAGTAAAGATAACTCCATTAATGATTGTGGGTAAGACAGTGCCAGTAAGAATAACTTCATTAGTGTCGTATGTATGACAGTGCCAGTAAGAATAACTCCATTAGTGTCGTATGTATGACAGTGCCAGTAAGAATAACTCCATTACTGTTGTAGGTGTGACTGTGTAAGTAAGAATAACTCCATTAGTGATTGTGGGTAAGACAGTGCCAGTAAGAATAACTCCATTAATGTCGTATGTATGACAGTGCCAGTAAGAATAACTCCATTAGTGTTGTATGTATGGCAGTGTCAGTAAGAATAACTCCATTAGTGTTGTAGGTGTGACAGTGCCTGTAAGAATAACTCCAGTAGTGTTGTAGGTGTGACAGTGCAAGTAAGAATAACTCCATTAGTGATTGTAGGTGTGACAGTGCCAGTAAGAATAACTCCAGTAGTGTTGTAGGTGTGACAGTGCAAGTAAAAATAACTCCATTAGTGTTGTAGGCGTTACAGTGCCAGTAAGAATGACTCTACTAGTGTTATAGGTGTGACAGTGCAAGTAAGAATAACTCCATTAGTGATTGTAGGTGTGACAGTGCAAGTAAGAATAACTCCATTAGTGATTGTGGGTAAGACACTGCCAGTAAGAATAACTCCACTAGTGTTGTAGATGTGACAGTGCCAGTAAGAATAACTCCATTAGTGTTGTATGGATGACAGTGCAAGTAAGAATAACTCCATTAGTGTTGTAGGTGTGACAGTGCAAGTAAGAATAACTCCATTAGTGTTGTAGGTGTGACAGTGCAAGTAAGAATAACTCCATTAGTGATTGAGGGTAAGACAGTGCCAGTAAGAATAACTCCACTAGTGTTGTAGGTGTGACAGTGCCAGTAAGAATAACTCCATTAGTGTTGTATGGATGACAGTGCAAGTAAGAATAACTCCATTAGTGTTGTAGTTGTGACAGTGCAAGTAAGAATAACTCCATTAGTGTTGTAGGTGTGACAGTGCAAGTAAGAATAACTCCATTAGTGTTGTAGTTGTGACAGTGCAAGTAAGAATAACTCCATTAGTGTTGTAGGTGTGACAGTGCCAGTAAGAATAACTCCATTAGTGTTATAGCTGTGACAGTGCAAGTAAGAATAACTCCATTTGTGATTGTGGGTAAGACAGTGTAAGTAAGAATAACTCCATTAGTGTTGTAAGTGTGACGGTGCCAGTAAGAATAACTCCATTAGTGTTGTAGGTGTGACAGTGCAAGTAAAAATAACTCCATTAGTGTTGTAGGCATTACAGTGCCAGTAAGAATGACTCCCCTAGTGTTATAGGTGTGACAGTGCAAGTAAGAATAACTCCATTAGTGATTGTGGGTGTGACGGTGCCAGTAAGAATAACTCCATTAGTGTTGTAGGTGTGACAGTGCCAGTAAGAATAACTCCATTAGTGTTGTAGGTGTGACAGTGCAAGTAAGAATAACTCGACTAGTGTTGTAGGTGTGACAGTGCAAGTATGAATAACTTCATTAGTGTTGTAGGTGTGACAGTGCAAGTAAGAATAACTCCATTAGTGTTGTAGGTGTGACAGTGCAAGTAAGAATAACTCCAGTAGTGTTGTAGGTGTGACAGTGCAAGTAAAAGTAACTCCATTAGTGTTGTAGGTGTGACAGTGCCAGTAAGAATAACTCCATTACTGTTATAGGTGTGACTGTGTAAGTAAGAATAACTCCATTAGTAATTGTGGGTAAGACAGTGCAAGTAAGAATAACTCCAGTAGTGTTGTAGGTGTGACAGTGCAAGTAAAAATAACTCCATTAGTGTTGTAGGCGTTACAGTGCCAGTAAGAATAACTCCACTAGTATTATAGGTGTGACAGTGCAAGTAAGAATAACTCCATTAGTGATTGTAGGTGTGACAGTGCCAGTAAGAATAACTCCAGAAGTGTTGTAGGTGTGACACTGCAAGTAAGAATAACTCCATTAGTGTTGTAAGTGTGACGGTGCCAATAAGAATAACTCCATTAGTGTTGTAGGTGTGACAGTGCAAGTAAGAATAACTCCATTAGTGTTATAGCTGTGACAATGCAAGTAAGAATAACTTCATTTGTGATTGTGGGTAAGACAGTGTAAGTAAGAATAACTCCATTAGTGTTGTAAGAGTGACGGTGCCAGTAAGAATAACTCCATTAGTGTTGTAGGTGTGACTATGTAAGTAAGGATAACTCCATTAATGATTGTGGGTAAGACAGTGCCAGTAAGAATAACTTCATTAGTTTCGTATGTATGACAGTGCCAGTAAGAATAACTCCATTAGTGTCGTATGTATGACAGTGCCAGTAAGAATAACTCCATTACTGTTGTAGGTGTGACTGTGTAAGTAAAAATAACTCCATTAGTGATTGTGGGTAAGACAGTGCCAGTAAGAATAACTCCATTAATGTCGTATGTATGACAGTGCCAGTAAGAATACCTCCATTAGTGTTGTGGGTGTGACGGTGCCAGTATGAATAACTCCACTAGTGTTGTAGGTGTGACGGTGCCAGTAAGAATAACTCCATTGGTGTTGTATGTGTGACAGTGCAAGTAAGAATAACTCCATTAGTGTTGTAGGTGTGACAGTGCCAGTAAGAATAACTCCATTAGTGTTGTAGGTGTGACGGTGCCAGTAAGAATAACTCCATTAGTGTTGTAGGTGTGACAGTGCAAGTATAAATAACTTCATTAGTTTTGTAGGTGTGACAGTGCCAGTAAGAATAACTCCATTAGTGTTGTAGGTGTGACAGTGCAAGTAAGAATAACTCGACTAGTGTTGTAGGTGTGACAGTGCAAGTATGAATAACTCCATTAGTGTTGTAGGTGTGACAGTGCAAGTAAGAATAACCCGACTAGTGTTGTAAGTGTGACGGTGCCAGTAAGAATAACTCCATTAGTGTTGTAAGTGTGACGGTGCCAGTAAGAATAACTCCATTAGTGTTGTAGGTGTGACAGTGCAAGTATGAATAACTTCATTAGTGTTGTAGGTGTGACAGTGCCAGTAAGAATAACTCCATTAGTGTTGTAGGTGTGACAGTGCAAGTAAGAATAACTCGACTAGTGTTGTAGGTGTGACAGTGCAAGTATGAATAACTCCATTAGTGTTGTAGGTGTGACAGTGCAAGTAAGAATAACTCGACTAGTGTTGTAGGTGTGACAGTGCAAATATGAATAACTTCATTAGTGTTGTAGGTGTGACAGTGCAAGTAAGAATAACTCCATTAGTGTTGTAGGTGTGACAGTGCCAGTAAGAATAACTCCATTGGTGTTGTAGTTGTGACAGTGCAAGTAAGCATAACTCCATTAGTGTTGTAGGTGTGACAGTGCAAGTATGAATAACTCCATTAGTGCTGTGAGTGTGGCGGTTGATATAGTGGCAGAGGAATCCGTTTCTAATGTGTTTTTTACAGAATTGATGATTAAATTGTTTTGATGTATTTACCCGTGACAGTTCTTTTTTAAATGCTCGATTTTGTACTTCAGCTCTGAAAAGACGTTCGCGGAAATCCTGCCTTTCACTGCATAGGAATCTTCGAGTTCTACCTTTGACCTCAAGGCCCGTTGACAAGGTAACATGGTCTCTGTCTTTACCGCCCGTTCTTTTCATTGCATAGATCTGTATGTAGGAGGTTGGAAGATATAATTATGTTGCGAGTATAAAAATGTTAAACATGTCTAGATATACACTAGTGATTTTATTATCCATTTAACTGATGACTGATTGCTATATGTTGATTCACACTGACCATGGATGATTTTTATGTATCTGGTAATATGTGACGTCCATCTTGTTATTGTTATCGCAGGCAAATAGATAGACGTTTCCGTAATATACGAAACGTGTTGTAGTGATGTGAACAATGGCGAGACGCTTTGCCGTGTAGTCGTGAGTTAGAATCCCATTATGAGTGTTCGTAATGTGTCTGTAATTTATATTCATTGTTATATGTTTCCACAATAAACATTGCGATGCATATTGTACTCGTCCTTGTCTCCTAGTATATATGTGTGCATCATGTTGTTTTAGCGACATTTGATGACGTATTCGGTTTAGGCAGTAAACACGCGCACATAACTCCTAGAGGTTTGAACGCAAATACTATCACTGGCAGGGACAATAGTTTTTCATAAATGTGTAGGTGTTGCATAATCAAGGCTTATCACTTATAATACAAATGAACAATTGATGATCGTACCTTTGGTAGAAATAATAAACATAATGTGTTTGTTGTTGATATTAAGATAAACGTGGAGATGACTAAGAAGGTTGTAGTGACTTGTTGACCTGTGCCGATCACATTCGAGATAATGACCGTGATAATGCTCATTAGCATAACATTGTAAACACTCATCCCGATATATTGGGAGTCATTCAAAGCTTCAATTTTCACTTTTCTTGTTTCCCAAGCAAGGAATGCCCCAAATAACAGAAGTAATCCTTTGTAGGCGTATAGTATTCCCAGCCATATGTCCATGCGATTGCAAGTGCACTGTTCAATAATTGGAATGTAGAGGATATCGTCTTCGTCTCGAGTCTGTGGACGAGTGAAAACAACGTGTTACGTCCAAGAATTGCTAACTGGTGGTTTGCTTAGAGCAGACACCGTAGTTGTCGTGTGATATATAGGGAAGATATTGATGGGGAAAGAACCTCAGAAAATCACATCTAATAGGAATGTTTGGACAATCAGACATACATGTAAACTATAATTTGTACTTGTAAATTACTGTTAAAACACAATATTTTCGTTGAAATCATTGTTTCAGAAACCTACCGTTGATGGCAGTATTTGTTCTTTCATATGTAGGGGATCCATACAAATCCAAATAACGAGTACAATCGTATCGAAGACGAACAGGCACGTGACCATAAGAAATAAACGAGACTCTTGTAGCATCTGCAATATTCAAAAACAACATCAGACCCAATGTGAATGTGCTGCCCCGAACAGGGATATATTATCGGTGCATCGTTTATCAGAGGAGATCAACAAATTGTTAGTGTTAAAATTATGGTTGCTGAGGTGTGATGGACGCCTTTCAGTAAAGTCACAAACTGGCATTCATTCCCATTTTTCAAGTTTGGCGGAGAAAATAGTAAAACGTGTGTTGGGAGATGGGTCACTTACCTTTGTTCGAAGGACGCCGCTGGCGGCACGTGTAAATATATGGTAAACACGATATGTTTTGATAAATAACGAGCCAAATGCCAGTGAAAATCCAGCAGCTAATAAGAACGCTCGAACCTAGGGAATAAATACGAAATGTTTTTTTTATTGTGCAAGCATATAAAAGATTCGGAAATGTGGTTGTATTACATGCGCTCCGCAGTCGACGAAATGCGTACAATCTGATGCGAGGAAAAAAAGGCGCTGTACGGCGATTGGGATTTAATGTATATGTGTACTGTGCTATTGCCAATACTGGTAGTTCATTTCATTTGTACTAGTACCCGTATGTAAGCGACCCGGAAATTGACGACTTACCGAACAAAGTACTGTGAGTATCGTGGTATTCTTCACAATCGTAGAGTTCAGTCCCAACAAAATAAGACATAGATACACTAAAATACTCCCGATTATCACAAGATTATTCAAATTAGGACTAGATAGTTTGATGAATCTGAAAATATAGACAAGTGTTTGTTTGTTTGGTTGTTTGTTTGTTTGTTTTCGGTTACTCATAATCTCAATAAAATAATGACTTGTAAAAAAATACCGGAATCTGTCATCAAATTCTTATTATTATGTGTGGCCACAGAATGTTTATCATGAATAATCTGGTACGAATTTGACGCATGCCAGACGTGTAGGTAATGTGCCTATGTTGCGCCCTCTTACGGCGGTTTCAAATCGCTGATGAACGTAGATGAATACTTACTTGGTGTTTCTGTATCTAAGATTGAACAACAGGAACAATATGGAAATGAGTACGCCCCCTATCGACATGAGTGTAATGCAGGTGAATGCGATGCCATCTATATGAACTATCTCCTCGATCACCAACAGTCGGTCACGTGGTACTTTTCCATCTAAATGAGAGAGTACGTGTTTTTTTCATTACTGGTAAATGATTTGAAAAATTAGGAATCGAATATTTTGACTGATTCAAGGTCAAATATTGCCAGTCGACATACCTGCATTATCGTACACAAAATCACCCGGCGGCTATTTTCATTCAGTTGTACAGAAATATTTTTCGACATATATCTATTTTGTGAAATCTCACAACACATGAACAGTTATTCTGACCACATATACCGGTAAAGCCGTACTGAGTCTCTTTCCCACCCGGTTTCAACTTTACAAAGGCATTTATACGAGACATGTTGTATGAGCTTCGTTGTATCTTACCTTGCCAAAGAATTGGAACGCAGTCTGTCGCGTTGAAATCCAAATATTCTGTCAAAGGGTTGTAAATGGCGATTCTCTTCATTTTACCGTCTGCAAACAAAATATCTTCATTTATATTTAGCTGCACAAACTGTAATACGTCATGAGATAGTACGATCATGATAATGGCGTATGAGTATTGAATGGTACGGCAATCAGTAAGTAATCGGTTTACAGGTATATTTATTGCGTTTCAAGACCTCTAGCCCAAATTCAAAACACAATTAATAACATGAACACGTTAAAAATTTGGTTCGATTTTTACGTTACGCGATATCTCACATGTATGGCATAGCTCCATGGATAAATAAAACAACGTTCCTCAAAACTGTCTTCCGTATCATAAAACCAGTAGATAACAACAGCCAAGGGAATTTGCAAATATTACGTTGAATAAAAAGAAGAGGGATTAATTATCGGCATCACTAAACAGAATGTGATATTCAACCTCTCTAAGTATAGTAGACCGGTCGTCAAGGCAATACAGAGCAATAAAGAGCATAGGAAACACGCCAAGCTTTTAATTATCTTTAAATCACAAGTCGGAGATAAAATTATTTACAGGTTTAAGTGTGCTCTCAAAGTCGGCGTAAGAGCGTATGGCTTTGCAAGAAAGGCAATACGACGGCGTAGTTGGACGTTACTTTCAAATGCGCCACGCAAATATGTGCTGCATGACATCATGTTATGACAATTTACCTTGGTTTTGGTCAAAGACGGTGATACTTTCTCTGTCTGCTCCATTGAACGTTATGTGTCCCTGTAAAACAGAGACAATTGCATGATTCCTAGCCCCATCACGGTGGTTTGAGTTCTAGAACTAAATATATGTCGTTAAAGTCTTTTTCGCATATTTTAGACATCAACATTCTTATCAAACTCTCCAATCAGGATTTAAAACATTCAATGAACCAAAACACCACGATTTAACGTGTAGATGCAATGAGAGACGTTGGTTATAACAACTTACCGAAATGCCAACAAAACTTAGATGCGACAGAATGCTTTTAATTTTGTCTCGGAGATAACTGTTACGGTACTGAGCTTGCTCCAGAGAGCTCGTTGTTCTATTCACTTTAGTCACGTTCTCCTCGGACAGGGTTTTCATGATTAATCCAATGGCCCAAACTGCGTCGTATGTTTGCGGAGCGTATGTCGTTAAGCCTTCGCCATGTTCAATTAACAACTCCTCGAATTGATTCGGTGTCTGCGGAAGTAAAATAAAACAAAATTATTAGAGGTTTAGCAGACCCAAATTATAATTCTCTACAAGTTACGCAGTATGATTTGGATTTTGAGTACACAACAGCACATTTTTTTACGCTTTGTTAAACGTCACAAGGCACCCCACATCAAACGCGACGCGAAAAGACGACAGCGCCGCCTTATGAATTAACACCATTTATCGCTGTTCAATTTTTCCTTCCATTAAAAGTACATATTTGGCAATACTTCAATTTGCAGTTTAATATATACATACATGTATATAGCTATAATGTAAACTCCAAGTGCAGTGAAAGATGTCTCTTTGGCAATGACAGAACTGCGCATGTTCCTAACTCACCAAACCAGATACCGTTGTACGGTTCTGTATATCTCGATTCAAAGATTCCACCGCTATGTAACCATTCAGAGCGTCCTGTAATTCTTCCACAGTGCAGTCCGTGTCATTGTCTGCCATCCACCAATCAGACTGGTACCAACCCACCAGTATCCATATGTATTTACCGCCATACATCCCACGTTTGTAAGCCTGTACGTAAACAAACATAATATCGGTCGTATTTTCTATTAAAGCATTTTGGATCGTTAGTTTCTCAAAAATGCATAGGCTCGATGGTTAATTACGTGATTTTTATCAAAAAAGAATGCCGAATTTGGTCAAATTCAACGAATTGATTCAACCCTACGATTCGTTTGGTTGGAAAAATTTGTGATTTTGTCGCTGTTTTGTAAGAATCTGCATTTTGCCTTTCATGTTAACCTGTATTTTTATATTAGGCCGTTATTCAAGATGGCTGCCCAATATAGTAACAATAGTATTATATTAAAACGTGTAAGCCAGATGACTGTGCATATGCTGTATTGCCGTGTAATGTCCTTCTTATCGATGGCATGATCTGACGCGACAAGAAACATTCAGGGATAATTTACCAACAAAATTACATCTTCGTTTCCACAACGGCATCTTACCTCACAGAAAACACGCCTTGCTTCTTTTTCGAAGAAGTTTCCAATGATGACTCTTGCGTCGGCCTCCTGTGTAAAAGACACAAATTGTCATTCCAGCTTAGCAGCCAATCAGCGACGGCCTTACAGTGTACAGTCAGATGACAATTTCGGTTTCAAATACCCCAGGAAAGTGTTCTATGTTCTTTGTGTAATTAGGTGTTCGTATGCAAGGGATTTTTCCACACAAAAACGACGAATTCGATCGAATTTTGTTATCGGTTGGCTCAATATAACCCCAACGGATCTCATTTTTGTGAAAGATTGGTATTTTTGTCCAGATTTGTAGGAATCTGCAAAACGCGTTTCACAACGTGTCTCTTATTTAGTTTTATGCTGCATTCAAGATGGCGGCCCCATATAGTAAATATCGTATTTATTTTATTATCACGTGTGCGCCAGCTGACTGTGGTCATACACTGGATTCACATCGCAAATGTTGGTGGCAGTATTGTAATGCAATCACTGACTGAGTACACTATTCAACCGCAGCCAGTATTCCACCCGTCTAATAAAAAGTAATATTATTATCACACTGATTAAAGCGGTTCAACCGATTACTCTGTGTCCACCTCAAATGTTTTCTTTACGACGAACATGCGAATTCGTGGGATTCGGATCACGCGATCAAGCCTTTCGTCACCAAGGCAACATTATTATGAAGTGTCATTCTCCTCAATCAACTAAGGGCGAATTTTCTACTTGCTTAAGTATCGTTCTATCCTGATATGATGTGGGTAATAATAAACAGTGGCAATGATGGCTTGGAATAATGAGATGTCGTACCTCGTAACACGCTCGGTTAACTCATGTACACGATCGTTTCACGTGACTCTATGGAACCAGTAGTTTTTCTGAAACACTCGGTGGCATTCAGACTTCTTTTTAAATGTTTAGTTAATTCATTTTGTAATTTGTTCAATCTTATGACACCATAGTAATTTGAAAGTATATCACATTTGTAGCTATTAGTAATACAGTAATAGTAATACAGATATACATCGTTTCTCTAAATATTATGACCTCCGCTCACTAACATGAGCGTTTTTATTTAATAGTGTTATATTTAAATATATATTAAAAACTTTAGTTAATGAGGTCGACGCAATTAGAAAAATTATAATCCCTTTGACATAAAACTAATATATTACACATTACACAAGACGATAATATGAGGTTATTACGAGGATACCTCAAAGTATGCACGAAGAAAGTACAGCGGGAGTATCGACCTCCGCGCAGCGGAGGATCGATGCGACGGCGTACTGTCTGAGTGGTTACTTTGAGGTATCCTCGCAATAACCTTACTCTTATACATCTTTTCCCTCCAAGGATACACCATGGGAATGACGAAATACCAAAAGTTTAGAACAGAATCAGCGAACGTCTTTGTGTTGAGTCCGGTCAAACCCTGTTGTTTGTTTTTATTATTAGAGGGCGCTTACGCGCGTAATCATTCCATATTTGGAATTCACATTTCCTTATATGGTAGGATGAAAATACCCCCTAAAATATTGAAAAATTACGACGCGCTGTTATGGCGTTACGGTGACAGATGTATAGTATTTAATTATATTAAACAGTAGAAACAACTCTAACTAATAAATCAAAAGACCTTAGACAAATGGCCGTTGAAATCTCGTTGAGCGAGAGAGAGCGACGATACTCGTAGTTGTCCGTTAAATAGTGTTCCATTCTCGTTGTCATTGCGTTCAGCGTTCAAAATATTCCGACTAAATAGATAAAAAGAACAGTAGATGTGATGACGGAGACTTTATCGTATATGTGAGTGTTATTTAAGTGTGCTCAGCTGAAACAGCTATGTTTCCGATGTTGAATCATTGATGCCATATGCTTGTCGCATTGCGCTGCAGCTCATTATTTTTTTCTGTAAGATCAACCCTCACAGTTGTCGTACCGTGTAGTCAATGTTAGGCGACATGTACAACACAGTTTTCTCGGGTATGGAATGACTCACAAAGGACGCCCAATTTCACGGCCATGCAACAAGACATGTTTCATTATCACAGACGTGCATAGTATCACAAGACAAGCGCACGAATTTGTGTTATTAACAATTTATTAACCAAATTATTTTGGTCACATGATATTATAACGTGCATTAAATCAATATTTAAACAATTGATTTGCTAAACATAAAAATGATCGTACCACCCGAATACATATCTTGCGCATTGTGGTACGAATAACAAAGGGACAACTACGGATCTCAGGGAAATCCTAATATAAACTGGTAAGATAGATGATAAAGCACCCAATGGCTAAACATAACGTATCGTAAACGTGTGTAACTGTCATATCACTTGTGAACATTGCAGTTACGAAAACTATAGTATCCTGTATTATTCATCATTTTCTCGAGAAAAAAAATGCAAAATGATCTATCATATTTGGCAAGAACAGAATTTGCATTTGCCGAGCCTCGCCGAATACTAGGAATAACCTATATTTTGCCAGTCAATGTGAAATGGGTATCATGTTCTCAGGTTGTAATAACAGTACGGATACGATAGTTCGATACGTACGGTTGAAGCGTCACAATTACCACGCAGCGTGCGTTTGAATCTCGTATAAACCACAGTCAGAAACTAAATATAAACAAGCAATGTTATTACATGCGTTGTATAGGTCACGTGGGACCCATACCGAACACGACGCGCAACGACTAGTGTGGCGCTCTTACAATATATTGGTCCGTCCCTCTGCTGCATTATAATGGTTCATGAACTTGCACTTTCAAAGCTTCACAGTGGATACAGCTGTGTAAACCTTGCCAATCCCTCCACATTGAATGCTACGCTGGTTTGTTATATTGACAATTTATTTTAATTATTTGTATCGGGGAATCAGTGCAATTATTTGTTATACTCCATTTAACCAATGTGCATATACATGATGTAATGGGTTAAATGACGATAGTGAGACCAATAATAATAATTATAATAATAATTTTGGTGCAACCAAATATTTATCGCTTCCAACATGAATATTCCTAATGTCCGTATTTGTTTAATTGTGTGGGATGGCCATTTTAGCTTATTGATTTAGTGGACGTCACCGGCTTTAAGAAAAATACGTTTTCAAAACGGCAAGGTAACACAGAGAGCTAGACCAACTGTTGATGTCGATCGCGGACATTCGATCTATTGAGAAGCGCAAAAACACTATCACGTTTTTTATGTTTCAAAAATGTTACCAGTCATCAACGTTTGTTCTGTGTTTAAAAATTTGTAATGTGATTTTTTTATAGAAATTTCGTGTTAAAACATTATTCCATAAAGCATAAATAGTTTTCGTCAGGATTTCTCAATAATATGATTCTTTTACCATTTGCTACCAAATAAGACTTTGAGATATGACGTAACGTTTTTACTAAAGGTACAACAAATAATCCATTTTCATAGGAAACAATTATTTTTACAAAAAGCTGTTTGGGTTTCGTGGAAAACAACAACAAAAACATATGCATAAAGGTAAAGAAGATCTGGCTATAATTGACATACATCGTTCCTACTCTGGCAAAGACGTTCTTTTTTATGTAAACAAATGCACATTCGAAGCCTCGATTTGGCTCAGATATGTAGTCGTCCGAGTCCATCAATAAAATACTGTTTTCAATGATTCAATATATGAATGACTACACATGAAAACAGAGTGAGTTTATGATATTCCATCAATCAATCCCGCCCGATTGAAATATTCAAACTCAGTACAGTCGACATTACATATAGGAAATGCGCTCAAAAATATCATCAGATATCTTTGATTTTTAAAATATGTTGGGGTTTTTATGCATTTGTTTTTATGACAGAAAACGCACATAAAAACATGCTTTCCACTGTTCAAACATCAATGAAAATTGCGTCCTATTGGAGAAAATTACATCTTTAAAATATAGTAAAAAGGAGTCACATGATGATTACTATTTGTGTGTTACGAAATAATCTTTTAACATGGATTCCTATGGAAATAGTTCCAAAATGGTCATTATTTATATTTCCGCGAACGACATTAATGCTCAATATTAAAAGTCGTTAAATGGGTCTGATGCGTTCAAGTTAAACCTCAATTCATTAAAACCAATTCCAATCAATTTTACCGTCTAACTAGTCTCAGATGTACGCCATTTCTGTGAGACTCACCTTCAGTTTAGCTATCTGTGACGTCGGGTCGTCAACGAAGCCTTCTGCTGCTACGATGGTGATGTTCGAATACGCCTCTAAATAATCAATCATTTTACTGGTAGCCTGTAGATATTAACATGACTTACATATATTATGCTTCGTACAACCTTTCTGCAATTAATGCTGAGTTAAGTGAAATAGTTGTTTATTGTGTACGTGTTGTGTTGACAATCATATAGTCGCGTTCAACAAAACATTTGTTTGTTTGCCAGTGTTCTCATGATTTATAGGAAAACAATATTCGTAACTTGATACTGTACTCAAATTCTTTCTATAGTGTCGAAACTCATAGCCACTTATACTTAACAGTAAATCTAACACAAAACAAAAGCCAGATTTAAAGTGTAGAGATTGATTATAATCTTCTCCATTAAAGTAGCTTCCCCGCATTGCAAAAAATGTAAAAAATCACTAATATGATTAGAATTAAATATGATATTAAAAGTTGATATCCTGCTCTTACTTTCCCGTCCATTTTATTTTGAGAGTAGTGGGGGGTCTTATCCCTTACATCTATATTGGAACTGACCTGCAAGGACAGACTAAGCCCCCTAACTCAGTGAGTGTCTAATGTTTACAAATCCACCTTAGTTTAGGAGGCCCTTTTTATTCTAGTTCTACAGTGTATATATTTTGTTCTGGGGATAGTACCGCGTAAATATACTAAGTAGGAAAGCGACTTTAACAGATGATGATTATTGTGAGTGGAATGAATCAAACGTTCTAGTATGGCAATAAAACATGGTGTTGATAAAATGTAGGTCCAACAAAATATGAAATATGAAAATCAATAATAGTCACAAATTTTCACATTGTCATTGGTTCGATCATCATAGCGTAACAAATATTGCAGGCAATCGCCGCCCAAGCATTCACAGTTGACAGACATTTGAAATTCAATAAAACGAATCATTACTTATTATTGGCTGTAAATATAAAACTTTGAAACTCACCGCCGAGAATATTTCTTCATCTTGAAACAGCACGCCAACGTGTTCCCATTTGAAATACTGTAACAGAGCCGTCTTTGCCGGGTCGTGAGCCGAGTCCGGCGAGACTGTCCGGTAGAAAGTTGGATACTCTTCGCGGTTTGTGAGAGCCACAGACGTTGATGCATACGACAACTAGTTTGGATAAAGAACATTTAGTCGTAATGTATGTTAATGCTATTGGACAGTACATAGCAATAATACAAAATAAAACTCTTACTTATTGTACAACAAAAAGTAATAACTGTTTACACAATAAGATGTCAATATCATTGCGTCCAATCATCAAATTATGTTAACGCTCCGACATCCAATTATCTACGAATGAACGAATCAATGAATAACATCAACTTGAACGCAGTTAACATCCAATCATGAGCGAACATCCTGAAATCAAAACTTCCTTTAGTCAATCATTATTACGAACACTTACCATTACAAGATTCCAGAAAGGCAAAATCTGGGCGATGTGTTTGGAGACATCGGAACAGGCTGCGCCCAAAAGCATTACCATTGGTGGTTTTCGATACAGTTGATCAAATAATGCATCAGCCCCAACACCGGGATCGCACTGTAAAACAAGTCATAATCACTAAATACATATGATAGACTACGTTTACAATTGTGTTTTACTCAACCATATGACCTGATTCCGTTGATATCACTTATATAGATGTTTCATTTGTTACAAGGAAAGGCCAACACTTATTTTTCATTCAAAATATTTCTTTTTGATACACTAATACATGCTGATGCAGCTGGTTAAATATGCGACACCTTTCTTAAAGCCGCTGCATAATGTTTTTCCGTCTTCGACAAGGTGTGATTACTGTAGTAACATAACAGTGACAATAATCAATGTAAACAGTTAATTATTTCAATACTACCCAAATACACATTAACATTGGAAATTGTGTTCAATTTGGAGCTTTTGTTACCAACAAGTACTTTCATATTAATATATCATTGTTTTGTACTTTTTTGTACTACTTGCACTATTCAGTGACAATGACCGACCGATATGTAAATCTGTCATGTTTATTTCTTCTCCTCGTAATTCACCTTTAACGGTACCATGTTTGCCCGAATGTACACATTCAAAGGACAATGATTTGTTATGACACAATTAGAGAGAAATTTAAATTTCTTGCATTGGCTACAATTAAAAAGGGGATTAAGAGATAGTTCAGTGATTCAATAGTTATTTCAACATGTGCTGCAAGTAAGGTTTGGTTCACGCCTGGCATGCACTGAGAAATAGTGACAGCGAATGTATACCTACCGTAAACAACGGTTTAGGGAATCAAACTTCTAATGTGAAGATAATGTTACATTGTGATTCACCTTCAAAAAAATGTATTCTGTGTAATTTTGAGCTTAAACTCATTCCCGATGGCTCTGTTGATTCACGATACGGTTTATTTCGAATCACGTGTAGCGTGTCAGATATATTGATGTTTGTTTCGATGAAGATGGTATTCACAGCTAAGTCAAGATTTATGTCAAGATAAAGATAGAATATAAGAGGGTAAAACACCCTAAACAAAAAAGAACTATACATGCATCGATTGGATTTTGATATCGACGATTCCGCCTGCGTGTGACGTCATATGTAAGTCTGTCTAAATGTTATCGCTGTATCGGTGATTTCAGATAGTGCATTTTTTCAGACGAACGAGTAAAAACATGTCATTTGGTGAAATAGATGTTATATTTTATGTTCTTTGCGATTTTAGATTCGATCATCGACATCAATTTGAATAATGGCGTACATTTTTGCTGACAAAAGTAAGCTTGTAAAGTGACAATTAATGTGTGCCAGGCTTAACTTGAAATACAGTTCTCTCGAAGAATTTACTCATTACCGCGCACTCGGAAGCGACTGTTTTCATCGTTCTTATCTAGCAGGATACATGTAAAATATTTGATAAAGTATATACCAAAATATTTCGTTTGTTGCCTTGTATGAATCAGGTGAACCATTTTGTTTCGCTGGCTTTCATCATACAGCTAACTTGAACACGATGCGATGAGGGCGACCATATGACACGCTAACTACTGTTAATTTCAGTGAGTGATAACGTGTTTCCCAATAATTTGTCACCATTTAGAAAGATTGATTGTTCTGCAGTGTGTACCTCGGGTGGTGAACAGTATTGTGAACAGTATAAACGGGTGCGTTTGAGAATATTTTACTTAAAGTAGCATAAATTTGACCTTACGTTCACAATGGAATAAGCGATTTATCATGTATTTAATGATTTCATTCATTACGGGATTATTGCACGGGTTGCATGACTCGATACACATCGGGACGTACTGTGAGCTACATGATTGCAGTACATGTGTATCGGACCTTACATTCTAATTAAATCTATGCTCATTTCAGACATTGTGTTTGCACGTGGCATTAGACGTGACATTTGTACAAGGCTAATTGTATTTGTATTTGCAACAGAAAAGAGATTGACAAATAATTTGTATGGTTCACCAAAAATCAACATTGGCGCTGGTGAAGTGAATAACATTGTCGTAAGTCGATATCATCTGATTCGCAAATATGCGACATATAATGGATCACATTAAACATACCAATATTTTACTATATTATGTTGTTCTTGTATTTTTTATAACATTTTATAGTGCAGGTAGATAGTTCACGTGATCTATAGACATTATTTTCGCAGCTTTCGTAATGAATCCGTCTACAAACCAGAGAGGTGGAATTATGAATTCATATATTACTTGTTAACACTTTGGATTTTATAATCTATGCATTGTGTCCGGTGATTGCCACACCCAGATTCTGTCTCTATTATCGTGTAAAAAAATATTTATTTATTTATTTATTTATTTATTTATTTATTTATTTATTTATTTATTTATTTATTTATTTATTTATTTATTTATTTATTTATTTATTTATTTATTTATTTATTTATTTATTTATTTATTTATTTATTTATTTATTTATTTATTTATTTATTTATTTATTTATTTATTTATTTATTTATTTGTTTGTTTATTTATTTATTTACATGTTCTTTAATATTTATATAGAAAACAGCATTTCACAACAAATAAAACAAGCTTGGTCTCTTAATAATAAATGTATATGGGCAATGTAACATAATTACCCGACATCAAACTCAGTTGAAAACAACCATTAAGCCGTACGTTGAGTTTTGAGAATTATAAGCGATTCTACTTTTTGACGCGTCAATATTGCTTTAACAGTCTAACCTTCGATAGCGGGCGGCTTTTGTTCAGCATTTACTATGAAAGTTTATTATTTTTAAACTACTCGTATATTAGTTTCATTGTTCTTGAGAATGCCCGTTTACTATGAAATCACTCTTTCCTTGTTCAAACAGTACCTTTTACTAGGAGAACATTGTTTTTCAGAACTAGGTTGTTTTCACATGATTCAAGTGAAGAGCACAATGTTCCCCTCATTATTTTAAAATATTGCATTTTCCAAGCAGCAACACAATGACCTTTACTAGAAACTAGACTTCAAATAGACCATTAACTACCGTTAGCGTCCCACTGGCCGCACTGTAACTACTCTGGTATCGTGAATTTATTCTGAAATTATTTGTGTTTCCCGTTATTGTGATTTGTTTGTTGGTTCATAATACGATGGTTTTATTCAATTATAAACAAATCGTGTGTCATCTTCTCGTGATAAGTCGGTATTATCCAGCCGCCATTGGAAAGCAGGCAATACGCCTCAACCGGTTAGTAAATGCAGTGTTCAATATAATTAGCATATAAATAAAAGAATCAATGTATTGTTTTTTGCCCGGGATGGCATATGTGTGTCTGTCAACATGAATATTTCAGGACACCGCTTAAAGTGGCTTCTCAAACCTGAATTGCAGATCAAAGCCAAATGGAAATAATTCTCCAGAGAGTTCGAAGATGTAGGATTATGTATGAAACTAGCTACGTTTACAGTCAGATTTTTCCGTGATCAACTTCAAAATTGTTAGAATTGTTAAAAATCAATATGTCGACACTAGCATTGACTTATGGCATTAGATTATAGTGAAATATCTGTCACGTTGAGTGTGTTGAATACGTATTAAACATCAATGACGATGAGTTGAAAGTTTAACAGTTCTACGTATATGTACAATGCTGTTATGCTACTAGTATTATATAATTGTGTTGAATGCATTATTGTGATTAGACGTGACAAAGTTTTAAATTATACAAGCTAATGTTAAATAGAACATCATGCACTGTTATGTATTTCTATGATAGGCCCCAGAGTATGTATAGTAAACAAGTTACTCTCGTAATCGACATTCAATGTTATTACACGTAATAAACCCTAATACTACAGCGTGACAACTAACAATCTATTCGTTACTAATATCGTATTTATGCAGACACGTTTGTAAGTTATAATAGTGCTGATACTGCCAAAAGTGTGATGCAACAATCTACTAATAGCTACGTATTCTGCTTGATGAGATAAAGGTTTAGGTAGTGTTCCCTTATTTTACATACTACATCAGTATTTACATGAAAATTACAGTCTTCTGGTTACAAAAGTTATGATTAATGTTTCATGTAGCTTTTTGTCTTGTTATATGGGAAATGACAAACTTATTTGAAAACGATATTTATAAGAACATCAAAGCGGAATGACTTAAGGTAGAGATGCAGGTTCGTGGGCACTTGGAGGTGATTTTTTTGGCTTTAGACTGTTAAAATTTTGTAGAATTGTGAATAGTGGAACACACTCAAAAAACGATTTTAAAATATAGACAACAGGTGCAAACATTCTCTCTTTTGAATGCTTAGCAAGATTTAGCAAGGCTGTACATAAATAATAAAAAAGAAACATAGTGAAAAAAAGAAATGACGGGATCTCCGTATTATGCACTAAATTTAACTTTTAACAAAACTGTTACAGCCATTTTAATTATGAGCATTAGCAAACTCCTTACTGAGTGAATTGTTATGCAAATTAGCAATTATCTCAGCTTCTTTTTAGTGCACATTCCAGAACTAGCTCCTAGACGCTTTGATATTTTGTTTTGAAATTTTCACAAATGATTGACAATGTTTATCTTCAAAACGCCGTCGGGGCATTGTTTTTGGTTCAACAGTCTTACAACAATCGTACAGACAACTAGCCTGGGTGTTAATTTATGCATAAACTTGAAGAAGTGAAATTTGAGATGCTGCCCTGCAAAATTGACAACTGGTAGACTGTTTTCAAGACGGCACTTTCTTCATAGTAAATAGATGTACCCATAAACCAATTTTTACAGGAAACAGAAGCATGGTTTAGAAGCAATTTCTTTTTAATTACTTTTGACCAAAAAAGCACATTTTTGTGCATATTTCAAACTACAGTGACCATAAAAAAATACTAACAACATTTTAAAATTCATACAATAAGCTTTCCGAAAATATATAGTTTTGTGGACAAGGGAGGTCATCTTGGCTTCCTAATTAACTAATTAAAATACCTGTCAGATAAACTGCATCTCTACCTTAACGCATCTTGCGCTATTTATTTGTATTATAATGTGGTTACTCTTTTATTTCTGCTTTATGTAATATGTACAGTGAGGTTTGTCTTGAATAATATACACACGCCACGTCCCGTACAAACTAGACTGTTTTGCATCTTCTAGCAGACAATTTGTGGATTCTATATTTTACAATATATTACATTTAGCTATCACGTTATTGTGAAATAGATTGATATCATTCTACACTGAAAACAATAGAAATTGTACTAGTCCCAAAAAGTATCAGCACTAGTTCTAGACTTGCACACAATCTCCTGTTTTTCAATAAAATAAAATATTATGTGAGTGTAAAAGTGGCAAAACTTTGTTTCGATAACTTTCGTTATTTATACAGTGAAAGCTGTGATCTTGCTTATTCTTATGGACTATCCGCGAGCTGGCGTGGAACACCGGTCGAGGAGTCGATCGAGAAAACGGCACAAACAAAATGTTGATTATACATGTTGCACATGTAGGGGTAATCTTGTTCACAGTCAGCTGGCGCACATGTGATAATAAAATAAATACGATATTTACTATACG